TCAAATAGTTTTAGAAGAGAAAAAAAATATATCCTTGTTTTCCACACTATGTGTGTTGTTCCCAAAAGAATGACTGTCTTGGTTCATCAGTGAATTCACTATCCAGGAGAGACTGCGGTATATTTTAAACCTGTTGGGCCAATGAGAAAAGAACCACGCTGGGGAGCGCGATGGACACTTGGCTGAACCTCATCACTCTATCTCCAGCGACTAGAATGTGTTTTGATGCCCAGCCTTTGTTCCCCCATCAATGTGTCCTTTAGTTTCAAACAGATCTTTATAGTTTGTGCTTCATAAGCCAATTCTTATTATGATTTTGGGGGACTGTTCTTCAAAGAACTTGCCAATGAAGATTTAGAGACAGAGAGAAGGCTCCTTCAAGTTCCGAGCCTTGGCTGTGGACAAAACAATCTTAAGTTGGGCAGCTTTCCTCAACACAAAAGAAAGTTATTCATGGTCGTTGCACCATAAGTAGGATTCTATCAGGAACTCAAAGCTTGGGGGATAAAAAGGAGCGAGAGAATACTGTAACAAACTTCGTACAGAGTTCGGTCTTTTAATTGTTTCATGTTAGATATTCTATGTGTTTACCTCAATTGAAAAAAAAAGAATGTTTTTGCTAGTATCAGATCTGCTGTGGAATTGGTATTGTATGTCCATGGGACCCTCTTTTCTCAGCACGTGTTCCTCACTAGAAGAAAATGCTGTTACCTTTAAGCTTTGTCAAATTTACATTAAAAATACTTGTATGAGGACTGTGACGTTATGTTAAAAAAAAAGGTGTTAAGTCACAAAATGCGGTAATAAATATTTCATTTTTGATTTTTTGTTAGGCTTTGGTGTTTTTAATGGTTGAAGGTTCAGGATACCAGCTCCTGTGCACTGATGAAAGTAGGTGATGGTCCCCTCCCCCAGGAAGTTGAGCATATTTAAGATGTAACTTACTGACAGTTTAAAAAGTCATCATTTGTAGCTTTCCAGTATGTGTTTGGACTCTTAGGCTTCATCAGCAGAAAACTTCCAAAGGTATGAAATTGTGTGCATTATAACCAGCTTTAGAAATCCCCTTCAAAATACCAAGCCTGTCTTTTATTATCGATGCATGATGTTTTAAAAAGTAATTTCAGATAAAGCTTTTGCCTATGCGCCCATCACTAGAATAAAGGGTTTCTTCCAAGTTAGTTTTATATCAAAGAAATAATGTGTGTGCTCAAACATGGTTTATCTGTATTTCTTCCATCTTACTCAATACTGTTGACTATGTAATTAAAGCTTATATATAGATGTTTATAGGTGAGTAAACACCTTCTATGAAGTTGGAAATCCTAAGCTTAAAAGAATGCTTAAGCATCAATATTTAATACAAATGATACAGTGCTGTCTTTTTACTGTAGATGCTTTTTCCATGTGCACGGATGCAAGTATGACAATTTGGTGGCTCAAGTTTTTTTTTTTTTTTTCTTTAAAAAAAAAGGAAGAGAACAGACAACATGATAGCATTTTCAAAACTTCACTTGGTAATCTAGAGCCATAAGCTTGTTGACATTATACTGTGTCTGCTAAAGTGTGGGAAATGTGGAAGAAGCTTGAGGTATCTGCACACCCTTAGATTTTCCAAATAAACACACTGCTTAGACTTTTCTAACTCTTAAATGTTGACTCCTCCATTTAAAAGGGACAATAAACAGGAGGTAGATAGATGACTCAACTTGATAGCCGAAGAGCTCACTAATCGTACAAACTGACACTTGGAAGCAATCCATAGTGGCATCTTAGGCAAGCCCCTCCATGTTTCCCCTTCAGACAGCCTTAATGGAAGCTCTACATGTGAATGAGCAAGGATATAAATTGCTATTGTTTTCTTTTATATTGTTAAGTAAAATTTTTATAAGTGCATTTATCACTTTAATTACTGCACTGCTCTTTAAACCCAGAAATAGCATTGCTTGACACAAACACACTGATCTTGTAAAACACACACAGCTTCCCTCTCATTTTCCCTGCTCCATTTCACATGGAATCTTTCTGTAAAATTTAAATATTTGCATATGTTTACTTTAGATGCTCTGATGTAAACCCTGACAAGCTCCTCATTTATAAACTAACTCTCACATCAGTTGAAAGGGAAAAAAATTACATTGGCAGTTTCTTCTCCCATTGCTCCCTATAAGGTAAATGCTGAAGGCTTTCCTTCATCACAAGCTCATGTTTATAAAAAGTGTTTTATGGAGTTATTACATTATTCCTTGAAGGGTAGAGCCCAAAGCTGTTGATCCTTAGTTTGAATTCACATATTCATCTTAAGCTTACTATGTTGGCCAATCTGTATCCTATCATGCTAATTTTAACCTTAGCTATTTGGAGATGAGTGATAATTGTAGTAATATCTATGCATTTTCTTGCCCCACCTCGTTCTCTGACAGAGGGATGATGAATTTGTCCAATTTTTATAGTTCTTTTTATACCACCTCAAAAGGCGCTTGCTCCTATCTCGGGTTTACTATTTAGTATAAAGAGTTCCGATTTGGGTATATTTAAGAAAGACTCAGCTGTCAAACGCAAAGAAACTGGGAATGGTGTTTTGACAACCATATAGTGTTAAAGGAAATACTGTAGTCTGAATAAAATTGCTTATGTTCTCCAAAACAAGAGTAATATAAAAACACTTTTTTATTTATATGGAAAAGCAAAAGCAGAAATAAACTCCAAAGGTTTCCCTTTCTTCAAGAAATTCCGAGAGAGAGAGCTGCAGTCGCCATCTGTTAAGGGTTGGGAATTGAGCAAAAAGCCACATTTTAAAGGAAAAGAAAAAGTCCAGAGAGGGCTGAGTCTTCCACGCTCCCCCTCTCCTGCCCATCCCCGAGTTAGCACCCTGAACCCCCACTCCAGATCCTGGATGGGTCTGTCCAGTCCATCAAGGTCCTCCTCGCCGGCTGGCCCTCCCACTCCCGCGGGCCTGTTAACCCGGAGCAGACCTGAGAAGGGAAATGTGGCTAATATCTCTAGCAGCTGTCAAAAGGGGGGCCCTTCCTTCAAAGGGATCCTCCACAAATTCTCCATTAGTCTTGCAGGCCAGCAATTTGATAAGGAGCCTGGACCTCCGCTACAAGTTGCCACTTTGCTAGAGGGTCCTCTGCTGAGGTGTCTAAATGGCCGAGTTGTCCTCGCTAGGCGGCCACCCTGTGGTCCAGGGGCAGGGAAGATGCGGGGGAAGCCAAGAGCGTGGAGGACCTGGCCTGCAGGCGGTCGTACGTGCAGAAGGCCTCCCCCTCGTGAGGTATTTGCTGCACAGACGAACCTGCTGCAAACTGATGGAGAGGACACGTAACAGTTTCTTTTGCAGTGATCAACTAGGGACATGGCGCGCGAGGGGAGCCCCCCGAAGTCCCACCGGGGCTGGAGGAAGGTGCAGCGCTGGACTGTGGCGGTCAGATCGTGATGAGAATGGGGACCGTCGGGCCAGTGTTTGAAGGGAGTTTTTAATATTAATAGTTTCGCTGTAGAGACAGAAGGGAGATTGCGTCTACTGCTCCTCCGGGCAGACTCTGGGTGACAGGAATGATGGATGATCCGGCAGAGCCCAGCGGCCCCTCCCCTCCAGCCCCAACAGTGTCAAAGCTACTTTAGCTGAGGCTTTAGAAATAAAATAAATAAACAGCATCGCCCCCTTCTCTTCGCACCGCCGCCCCATCCCCCGCTTTCCGACACCGATTTATGGATCATTATGAATCAATTACTGCTCTCAATACTTTCCCATTGGCTTAAATAAAAACAGTGGAAAGATGAAAACGTGGGGTTTTGGTAGGGAACTTTTTTTTTCCTTTCTTTTTTTGCCCCTGACAGGAACAATCGCAAAATCCATTATCTCATAATCAGAGGCCCTGGGTTAGGAGGTGAAGAGAAAAGAAGGGGTCACTCAGGAAATAACGCGGGAGCACCAGAGGGGGAGGTGTCGCCCAGTCGCTGCCTTTGTGGTATTTGGTTTGTTTGTTGTGTGTTTGCGGTGTTTTGAACGCAGGGGAGAGGGGTTGCTCGTGAGAATCCGATGCCTACAAGTTCGATGAACTGACCCTTAAACTCCTTTGCCCAATCCTCCCGCAGTGTGTGCCTGGGCAAGCGTCTCTTGGTGGCCTGGAGTGAGGTCGCACGTGGGGAAAGGTGTGGAGAAACCGACTGATCTGCAGGGCAGATTTGTACTTTGTCATAGGCAACAGTGCTTGGGCGGCTGGGGGGCTGCGCGGGGACAGTCCCCCTCTAGCCACTCCGCCCCGTCCCGCTTGCCGCTGGCTGGTTTTGTCTTGCAACTGTTTGGGATCTGGACGACCCCCCCCCCACCTCCTCCTACCCCCACCTCGCCCGCCGGAGGCTTTTCTTCCCTCTCCGGCCTCTGGCGGGGCGGCGCTCTAGGTCCTTGTAGGTGTTTCTATGACTACATTGTGTGTGTGGGAGGGTCAGATGTGGGGGTTGCCCGAGAGAGGGCCGTTCCTGGGCGGTCATTTATCAATGTCACCCACATAATGATTCTCTCTGCAGCGTCCTATTGATGAGGATAATTACATTAGCTCAGAGTGACTGATCAATGAAAAACCACCACACAAAAACTTCTTCACTCCTCTATAATACCAAAAAACCGATACAGAAATAACAGAAAGTCGGATTCTCTATCCACGGATGGATTCTGCACCCCGCCCCAACCCCCCGCCCCAGGACCCGGGAATAAAGTAACAAAATAGACCTAGGTTTGTTTCGTTCAAGGAGGATCCAGTTTTGCCTGTGAATTCATTTGCTCTAAATGCATTGGCTTCGTTCCTCCTTTGGTAAAGAATATCAACCGATTTGCTACTGTGGGTGGCTTTTAGAGTGGTCTGTGGTTTTCCGTTCTTTTTATTTCTTTTCTCCCTATTGGACCTTTTTCCCCATACTTAAAAAAAAAAGATAGGCAATACATCAATGGAAAAAGAAATTATTCTAGATCCCTTCTCCATATTAAAAAAAAATAAAGCATTTGCCTTGATCGGGTTATCTTTTTGTCTTTACCACTTTACAAAGTAGAGCAATTAAAGATGTGATGTGTGCGAATTAAGGATGGATCCATTATATGGCGGCATCACTTGCTATATTCTGGCCTGCAAGTTTTGCAGCTAAATTACTATTTCACTTTTTCTAGACTTAAAAATCAATATTTTCTCAATTAAAGAGAATTTTAATGCCTTACTTGCGAGTTGTTAAAGGCGCTGTAAATTTTATTGTAATGTTTCTTAGCTTCGGAGTAGATTCAAGAGACGTGTGTTCTCCAGGTCATTTTTTCCGTCTCAGAGATCCTAGCCAGAAACCTTCCACTGGCTTCAGATGAAATACCAGCCACAAAGGTAAGGAGAGTTCCGCAGGGGTCCCGGCACTGGGCACTGGGAGGGATCCCTTCATGGCCAGAGGCCATTGTCTGGAGTCACCTCTCTGGGTCCCACCTCCCACAAGTAACAGAAGTGTTCATTTAATCTTTCTCAGACGCAAGTACAAGAGACCCCCATCTGCTCTGGGACAGCCAGAAAAAGAGGTACACTTTAGAAAGATTCTAGATTCCCAGTGCCCTCACTCCCTTCTCTTTTCTTTAAAGTGTACCCCAGACTTTCACAAATTCCCAACCTCTGTGTCCCAATTCGCTCCCCACTTTGAAGAGCAGGCAGTGTTTATGGATGCTTTCTCCTTCCACGCGCCCACCTAGTAAAAGTTCTCGGAGAGAGCTAACTGGTGTCTTAACAGCCCAGGTCTGCTTCTGCTTTCTCCTGCAAACTTGAAGTCTAGTGACCTGGGTGATGGCATTGAATTG